ACATAGTTCATTTGCAGCATTCATGACAGAATCATTTACACCACTTGATGTACATTCAAAACCTCTTTTCTTTCTCTGGCAAGCAAGAAAACATATCATTCAGAACAGAAAATATCAAGTAGTAGACATTTCAATGATTGAGATAGCCTCATTGTACCTTTCCTTTTCCACTAATGACAGACTCAGTCTCAGTTTGTTTATTTTTACCCTGACAAGCAAGTAAGAACATAACAACAATTAGAAGATAAAGTGAAGTGCCATAATTCAGAACATAACAAACAATAAAAACATCAATTAGTATTGCACCTTTCCATTTGTAGTAGCTGCTGGCACATCCAATCCTTGGTTGGTGGGTCTAGAAAGTGGGTTTTTATGGCAGCCCCTTGAATTGTGATTTGGTTGCTTGCAAATTGAGCACTTCATGACAACTCCTCTTTTGCTTAGTTTGAAACCAGTACCAGTTTGTTCTGCCACTTTCTTTTTTCCTTTTGCTTCATCCTGCCCTTTTCTTCTTTGATATTTTTTGGGCCTCCCAGGTAGCTTTCCAACAATTGGTGGAATCAATGGTGGGTTTTCCACCTCTGGCCACTCATCAGATCCACCTATAGTTCCCATTAAGTGGCTATAAACCCTCAGATATGTTTCTTTTTTGTATGCCTCATCCACATAATCCTCTGGGGTATGACCCAAGTAGTACATTCCTGAGATAGCATGTGCACAAGGAATTCCACTGAGCTCCCACTTTCTGCATGAGCAAGTTTTTTCCCCAATGTGCACCCTGAACTTTGAACCTGAGCTACTCTCAACCTCAAATTGATCTTCACCATTCCAATAGCAAACAAACTCCATGCTCTTCTTTTTCAATTCTTCAAGCATTTTCTCAATTCTAGGACAAAATTGCCCATGGTGCTTTCTCATTTGATCTCTCTTTGAATGAATTCTCTTCATTAGAGTCAATCTTATCATCTCCAACATCTTGACTATTGGCTGAGCTCTAGCCCTCACAATAAGAGCATTAAAACTTTCAGAGAGATTATTGAGCAGCAAATCACATTTTGAATGTGTGCTGAAATGGAACCTAGACCAATTTGCAGGTGGTCTAGCATTTAACCAGTCAAATGCATCTACATCTCTTTGTTTCAGCTCAATCATAGCCTTTTGAAAATCCTGAACTCTTGTGGCTCTTGCAACTTTCCACAATAAGCTCTTAAGAGCCAAACCCTTATGTGAGGCTTTAAAGTTAGCATAGAGGTGTTGAACACAAAACCTATGCTCGGCCCCAGGTAAGAGAGTGTCAATGGACTCTACCAAACCCTTTTGCTTGTCAAACATAAAGGTCCAGTGATATGGGTTGATTATTTTCACATCATCAATCAACAACTCTAAAAACCAGCTCCATGATTTTTTTTTCTCTTTTTCAACCACTGCATATGCCACTGGATACATACCATTGTTTGCATTTATGCCCACAGCAGTCAATAAGACTCCACCAATTGAAGTCTTTAAGTGACATCCATCTAGAAACAACACTGGCCTACACCCATCTAACAATACATCCCTTAAAGCCCCCCAACAAATGTATAACCTCTTGAAAGAGGTTTGTTCCCCAAGCAATTTACATTTGATTTTAATTGTAGTGCCTGGATTGTTCTTTCTGATTTCAGCAGCATAAGACCACAACATACCAAATTGTTCATGATGGCCATCAGACCCACTTTCTAACACCTTTTTCTTGGCCCTATAGAGTTGGCTATTGTTGAAAAGAAGCTTGTTTTCACCTTGCATGATTTTCATCATAGACTGAACAGGCCAAGTAGGATCAGACCAAATTTTCTCCCTATAAGTGTCAGCTAACCATCTAGAGTTGGCATGAGATACTCTTTGACCCCTAGGGCACTTGTGTGTAGGGTTATACTTTCTAACCTGAACACTATCCTCACTTGACAAAAGTGGAGCATAAATGAGCCATGGACAAGTACTGTGCTTACATTTTACTTGGACCTTGGTTTTCTCATTAATACTAAAAGTCACATCTCTGCCATTCTTTATTGCACTCTGCCTCACTGCTTTCCTAAACTGAGCCATATCAGGGAAAAACATTCCTATTTCAAATTTAGGGTCCCTCATATCTGTCCTCCCATTGAAAACTACATGACCCTTGTGACCTTTACTAGATTCTGACCTAATTGTTCCATTGCTTGGCTGACTGTGAGATGTCTCCATCCCTAACCCCCCAAACTCCACATCAACATCAATATTATCATCAAAATATTGATCATCATTCTCTACATCAGATGTTTCACCTTCACTATCTATCAAAACCTCAGATAGCTCAGAATATGTCCCCAAAGATTGTTCATCATCAGAATCACTATTCAAAGTATTATCAACTTCATCCCTACCCACAGCAGAAGAGTTTTCATTCATCAAGTATTGATCATTATCACCTAAAAAGTCCAAACCTTCAAAAACTACAGGAAGTTCGGTTTCATGATCCACATACAAAGCAACTATTCTATCTTTATCCTTCATGAAACACATTTGCATGACATCATTATCATCTTCCAACAAGACTAAGTCATGGCAGTTATTAATCCCACCCCTACTGAAATATACACCTTTAATTGAATTCAACCCTATTTCATCTGTCATGCTCATTACCTCAAGCAGTGACATTTCATCAGGATGGCAAAAATCGACGTGAGAGACTCCACCGTTCAAGTACATCTTGCAGCCTAAATCCACAAATTGGCCGCCATGGTAAACCCTAATAGTGAAATATTCATCATTTTCGCCTGAAAGACAAACAAAAAATGTCGTAAACACTAAAATCCCTAATCCCAGTCCAACACAAGATCATAAATAAACAAAAAAACAATCGAAACTCACAGAACCTTCAAATTGAAAAAATACAAAAAGGCTTACCATACTCTGGAGCATCCGTAGCATTCTTCTCTCGTAATTTCCAAACCATTGCTTCAAGATTCAAAAAAATACGGGTCCAATTTCAGAATTTTGCTGTTTTCATTCCTTTTGGAGAACAGATCGTACTTTTTAGGGTAAAATTAGGGTTATAAATGATTTCAATTAGGTGTTTTTCTATTTGTAAGTAATTTAATAACTGAAAGGTCAATTTTTCCCTTCTCTTTTGAAGTTCGATGGTCGGAAGTCGCATAGTGAAAGGAATTCCGTAAGTTCGAGTTGGAAAGTGTCGCCGGAAAAAGTTCGGTGGGCAAAGTGCAAATCAGCGAATAGTTCGGTAGGTAAAGTGTAATTTTCCCTTAATATTAATAATTCTCCGCATAATTAAAATAATACTAAATCAGATAAATAAGTCTAGCTACTAATATATATTTTTTTTTTTGTTCGGGGTGTTACAATCCGTGAACTGGTGGGGAGTCACGGGTGATGTCTTTCGCCGACACTGTTAGTCGGGCTCCGGAGGTAGAGAGTTGTCTCATTCCGATAGCCCCAGTCCCTTCATATTATCATGCCTCCCAGCCTTCTCAGACTGTTGCTCAGTACGCTCAGCCCATCTCATCTGTGCCGCCCGGCTCTAGCTCGGGCAAGAGGAAGTCCGATTATCAGAACAAGAAGAAGGGAAAGAAAGGGAACTTCGGCAGACGTGACGACCGACCCACTCAGGGTCAAATGCCTAGGTGCCCTAAATGCGGCAGATTCCACACAGGAGAGTGCTTAGCAGACAAGCGAGCTTGTTACAACTGCAACCGTTCGGGTCACTATACCAGCGTCTGCACGAACCAAAGAGACAGCAACAGCAGCAGCCCTTTCCCCAGCAGCGTCAGCAACAGCTTTCCCCATCGCCACCTCATCAGCAGCATCAGCAGCCCCCACCGTTCCAGCAGAGGGCTGGGGGTCAGGCCCAAGTCTATACCATCACCCATGATGAGGCCGCCCGCAATGCAGGTACCATGTCCGGAATGCTTTCAATATCCCATGTGCCTGTTTTTGCTTTATGTGATACCGGTGCTACCCATTCGTTTATCTCTTCTCGTTATTTGGAGGCCTTATCTGTTAGCATGGTGAGTCCTTGTGATCCTCTCGAGGTTAGTCTAGCCTCGGTAAAAATTATTATCTCTGATTCAGTGGTTCACAACCTTCCTATTTGCATTGGTGGTCGAGTTCCGGAGACCGACGTATATGTTATTGAAATGCAAGACTTTGATGTGATCTTGGGCATGGACTGGCTCACCCGTTATCGAGCCGACATCCGGTCCCAAGAGTGCAATGTCACCCTCTTTCCTGTCTCTGATCAGCCCGTTGTGTTCTATGGGGTGAAGTCGAGGACTGTGCCTCGAGTCATCTCTTCTATGCAAGCTAGGAAGAGCCTTTCCAAGGGTAGCTGTCAAGGCTATCTTGTTTCTCTGGTGTCCGATGTTGTTGATGAGCGAGTACCCGAGAGAGTATCCATCGTTTGCGAGTACCGCGACGTTTTTTCGTCGACGTTTTTCCGGATGATTTGCCTGGAGGACCGCCCGACCGCCAGGTAGAGTTCACCATTGACCTAATTCTAGGAGCCGGCCCCGTTTCTAGGGCCCCGTTTCGTATGGCGCCGAAGGAGCTTCAAGAGCACAAGGCCCAGATCCAGGAGTTGCTCAAACTCGGTTTCATTCGTCTGAGTGTCTCGCCGTGGGGTGCGCCCGTCCTATTCGTGAAGAAGAAAGACGGATCTATGCGCATGTGCATTGACTACTGGGAGTTGAATGCCCTTACAGTCAAGAACAAGTACCCCCTATCCCGTATCAAGGACCTTTTCGACCAGCTGAGGGGAGCCAGCGTCTTCTCAAAGATCGACTTGCGTTCTGGCTATCATCAGCTGAAGATCCGGGAGTCGGATATTTCTAAGACTGCTTTCCGTACCTGCTATGGCCATAGTCATGCCGTTCGGACTCAGCAATGCCCCAGCTGTTTTCATGGACCTTATGAATAGGGTCTTTCATCCTTTCCGGGACCATTTCGTCATTGTGTTCATCGAAGACATTCTGGTCTATTCCCAAGATATCGATCAGCACAAGGAGCATCTGAGGATTGTGCTGGAGACTCTTCGCCGCGAGAAGTTGTATACAAAGTTCTCGAAGTGCAAGTGCTGGTTAGATCGTGTGGTGTTCCTTGGCCAATATTGTGACAGCGAGAGGCATTGAGGTGGATCCCAGCAAGATCAAAGCAGTGAGCAAGTGGGATACGCCGAGAAGTGCCGCTGATGTTCGTAGTTTCTTGGGGTTAGCAGGATACTACAGGAGTTTTATCGAGGGCTTCTCGAATATAGTCCAACCGCTAACCAACCTTACGAAGAAGGCCGTGAGGTTTGTATGGAGTCCGAAGTGTGAGGAGAGTTTCTAGGAGTTAAAGAGGAGACTCACTACCGCGCCTGTCCTATCCATACCTGACCCTACTTTGGAGTTCACCATCTATAGTGATGCTTCGAAGATGGGTTTGGGTTGTGTTCTCATCCAGCATGGGAAAGTCGTAGCCTATGCTTCGAGGCAGCCGAAGCCTCATGAGCAGAACTACCCCACTCATGATCTCGAGTTAGCTGCAGTTGTCCACGCCTTGAAGATTTGGCAGCACTACCTCTATGGAGGCAAGTGTGAGATCTTTACCGACCACAAGAGACTAAAGTACATTTTCACTAAGAAGGAGCTGAACATAAGGCAGCGTAGGTGGTTGGAGCTGGTCAAGGACTACGACTGCACCATTAGCTATCATCCTGGGAAAGACAATGTGGTAGCCGATGCCCTTAGTCGGAGGAGTTATGGCCAGTTGTCTTGCCTATTCACTGGGCAGATGTTCTTCTTCGGGAGTTCGAGCGATTACAGCTAGAGGCAGTGGAGTCGACTTCGACAGTCAGGGGCATGTTGGCCTCTTTGGTTGTGGGACCGACTCTTCGAGAGAGGATAGTCGCCGAGCAACCGAATGACCGTTTCCTATGTCGGATGAGAGAGTTGTCGGAAGCTGGTAGAGTTGGTGGATTCGCAGTCGCATCTGATGGGGGTAGTCTTTGTGTCCCGAAGGTGTGGGAACTGCGAAGGGAGATTTTGAGAGAGGCCCATAGTGCCCTGTACACTATCCATCCTAGTAGCACGAAGATGTATCAGGACTTGAGGAAGTCTTTCTGGTAGCGAGGCATGAAGAGGCAGGTAGCGAAGTTCGTGGATGGGTGCCTAGTATGTCAGCAAGTGAAGGCTGAGCGCTAGAAACCGAGAGGGTTGTTGCAGCCCCTTGAGGTTCCCCTGTGGAAGTGGGAGTGCATCACCATGGATTTCTTAGTGGGACTGCGGTAGTCGAGGGGCGGGTATGATTCGATTTGGGTGATAGTGGATCGCCTTACGAAGTCTGCCCATTTTTTACCAGTCCGGACGACCATGAAGGCGAGTGATTACGCTGAATTGTTCGTCAAGGACATTGTTAAGCTTCATGGGGTACCCGTGGAGATTGTTTCAGATCGAGATGCCAAGTTCACATCCCAGTTCTGGAGGACGTTGCACCGAGCCATGGGGACGAGGTTGGAGTTCAGTACGGCCTTTCACCCCGAGACAGATGGTCAGTCGGAGCGTACGATCCAGTACTTGGAGAATATATTGAGGGTTGTGGTCTTGGACCGAAGCCTGACTTGGGAGTATGCCTTTCCGCTAGTCGAGCTGACCTACAACAACAGCTACCACTCTTCATTCAAGATGGTCCCGTACGAGGCTTTTTACGGACGAAAGGTCCGGACTCCTTTGTATTGGGATGAGGTTGGAGAGAGAAGGATTACGGGTCCGGACTTTGTCCAGAGTACTGTGGCGACAGTTAAGGAGATCTGGAAGACCATCAGGGCTGCCCAGGAGAGGCAGAAGGTCTATGCCGACCGGGAGAGGCAAAAGCATGTTTATGCAGTGGGAGACCATGCCTTCATGAAGGTTTCACCCATGATAGGTGTTATTCGCTTCGAGAAGAAGGGGAAACTTAGACCTTGCTATATCGGGCCGTTTGAGATCCTCGATCGAGTCGGGAACCTGGCGTATCGGCTGGCTTTACCACCAGACTTGTCGGGTGTGCACGACGTGTTCCATGTCTCGATGCTTCGGAGGTATGTGCATAATCCTGATCATGTGGTGGACTTCGGCGATCTGCAGGTCGAGCGAGACCTTACCTACGAGGAGGTACCGGCAGCCATCTTGGACCGAAAGGTCCACCAGCTGAGGAATCGGGCAGTGAGCTTAGTGAAGGTGCAGTGGAGCCGACACGATGAGACTGAGTCGACTTGGGAGAGGGAGGACGATATTAGGAGGCGTTATCCGAACTTTGAGTTTTGAGTTCTCCTTTGTATTTTATCACTTTCTAGTTTTATTTTCGAATTCCGAGGATGGAATTCTTTGTAAGGTGAGCAGACTGTAACGCCCCATTCGTTTATGAATAAATTGGATTATTTTATTATTATTATTATTATTATTATTATTATTATTATTATTATTATTATTATTATTATTATTATTATTATTATTATTGTTGTTGTTGTTGTTGTTGTTATTATTATTATTACTAATGTTATTATTATTATGTGTTTATTTATATTTAATTGTCTAAATGCCTAAATGATTTAATGTGCTTAATATGTATTAAGTGTAAATATTATATGTCTAATTGTTAATTAAATTACTAATTTTATATTTTGATTATGACTATTATTATTTTTAAATAATGTGTTATATATTTAGTCCGATTTAATTTTATTTATCATCGATCAAACCGAGCCTCGATATTAATTGTAAATCGAACCCTCGGAGAATTCGATCCAAAAGAGCTCCATATAGTCGGCCCTTTTGGTGCTTAAATATGTTGGCCCAATTCTTATATAGTTCCTTGGCCCAACTCATTGTTAAACTGGCCCAAATAAAATAAAAGAGCAGATTTTTTTTTTCTCCCTCATGCTACGACCGAGTCTTCCTCTCCCAACGGATCAAATCTGCTGCGAGTTTTGGGTGAAATCTTCACGCACATTCTCCCCCTCTCTCGCATACTTAATTATCAGTTGGGCTATTCAACTCAAAAATCAGAAACATTCACCTCTCTCTCCCTCAATCTCTCTGTTTGCATTTATAAAAAAAAAAAATCGCCGGCAGCCATTGATGCATCCTCACTGCGAAGCCATCAACACCAGGCGAGCTTTCCATTCAACCGTGCACATCGAGCTTGGCGTGATCCTTTTGTTCCCGTGAAACTCTCAATCAGCCGCAACCATCCACCATTAACGCCGGAAAAGCTTCCATCTCCATTGTTTCCGGCGAGCAGAGGACCACCAGATTCCAGCGACCACTTCTTTTCTGGCGATTCCACCTTCGAACAGCCCCGCCGTACGAAGTTCTGTACGAGACCAGGCCATTCACAAGCAGCTCCGAATCCGAGCAGTCCGAGTCCAGCTGTCCCGTTGCTTGGCCCGTTTCTCTTTCGATAACTCGTAATTTCCCGAAGTCGGGTAAATTATTTCGAAACCTTCTCGATATATTCATGCTTGTGTTTGCTCGTTTATACTCGTGCTATTTGAATCGATTTATTGTTGATTGTTCGGCTCATTAATCGACTCGTATTATCTTTTTGTTCGTCGGATTATTATTCGCAATATATCGTGGAATTATTGGACTCCCTTTTTGTTAAAATTGAGCCCCTTTATGTTGCTGTGATTAAGTGTATAATTTCAGAGTCTCGGTTTAATGTTCGAGCCTTGTCGTTTTATTATTCGTATTTTTGTTTTGTTGGAACCGTCATTCTAGTCGTTTCGTTTTCGAGTCAAAACCCATTTCTTTTAAAAATATTTCAAAACGCTGTATATTGTTATGTTCGTTTGTTTACTTATTAGTCGAAACCCAGTTGCCGTTGGAATTGCTGTTGTCGAATTTTGGTTGAATTTCGCTGTCCAGCAAAACTCTGTTTCTGCAGGTTCAATCACAGTTTGTTTTTAAAATTCATTTACAAAACTTTTCAAATTAATAAACAAGCAGTGCCTGTAGTCTAGTTACCGACTCGCGCTTTGGGCGTGAGAGGTCGCGGGTTCGATCCCGGTATTACCCAGTTTTCCTTTTTATTTGGTTTCCAGCCGCACGGGCCATAGGGCCCGAAACCAGCCCGCGCGCGACCCGACCTGTCTCCGCAGCTGCAGCCCGCGAACCCGAACACCCCAGCCCGCAAGCCCGCGAGACCCTCATGTCCATTGTGACCATTTGGGCTTGTTTTCGACCCAATAACGCAAGTGTGCTGCCCAATTTATCAATGTACTTGGCAGCTCGGTCCATATTATCTTTTGGCCCAATTTCGAGTCCCCGAGTCCAATTTTCGACCTAAACTCATTTTTTAAATTTTTTTTTTTAAAATGATAAAATTTTGGGAAAAATTATTTAAGTCCCGAGACTCCAATTTTAGTTCTCCGAGTCATAATTTTTCAAAAATGAGAGAGTTCCAAGTCCACGAAAAATCCAATTAAAACCCTTAAGACTTAATTTTTATTAAGTTTGGGTTTTATGTAAAATTTGAGTAGTGAGATAAATTATTGATAAATTATCTCGCCTAAATGTAGGTGTTTGAGGAGTCGAGCCTCATCCTACGTACTTGCTCTTGTGTGCAATTTTCTACCGAGCTATCCAGGTGGGTTCTAATCTAAAATTGTCTATGCCATACGTGTTGTTTAATGTTTAGTTGGTATGACCAATGTATGAATGTGAGCCATGTGGCCTACCGATGTGAGCTGTTACGCCGTCGGTACGGTTGTCCCCATCGAGTTACGGTACGGTTGCCCTTGCGAGGCAAGTCTCCTTAAGACCTAATGAAAGGCTGTGTCCGTTACAGTGGCACGCACTCCCGTCGTTAGGGTTTATGCATCCCTTTTCCGCGGCTAATGATAGATGTGCACATGAGTGAGTTATTGTTGTGATTGTTAGGAGATGAGACATGATGATGATTGATTTATATTCATGCTGCGACCATACCATCTGTACATGTTATTATGTGCATAGTAGTGAGCACTACTTTATCATTTGTGCTCATTCCCACCTGCTCTTCACGGATGCAGGTTAAGCAGTGGCCGGGTGACGGGACGAAGGACGAGTGGTGGTCTATTATTTGTTTCGTTTGCTTTCGCTTTAATAATATGGTCGTTATGAACATTTCTATGTTTTGGACATGTAAAAAACTATTTTCGAACTATGTTTTGATGTTTGAAAGTAT